TATCCTAATAGGCACACTGGGAGAGATGGTCACCCTATATATCTGGAGCACATTTTAAGAAAATGGTGATTTAATTTGAAGGTTCCTGCTATTTCCTTTCATGACTAAACATAGCTAAATTTCCGTTAGCCTTCTCAGGGTTGTGGCTGTTTCTACTCTACTATGAATCAACCTCAGCTATAGTGTGTTTAGAATTATCTGGTAAAAAGAAAGGACACGGTTTCAGGGCTTCTAAACACAGCTATATTTTAGGGAGTAACTTGAGAGAGGTAGGACCCACTTCTTTAAAGTTGAAGATTCTTTTTTCCTTATTTGAGGTAAATTGGTTTTATTTGCCCTAACCTGAAAACAGTACTTTTCTCTAACTTTTTGTCATGGATGTTGTTGTCCCAAGCTAACCTTAATTCCTGAGTGTTCCTGACTAAGCTGTGTCTCATTTCTCTTAGCTGAGCATAATCCTTTTGATCTATTTCAGCCTTGCTTTTGCTTCTGTTTAACTAAGTGACTTGTTTGCTTATTTTGTTTTAAATAAATTGCAGCTGAAGAACTTGAAGAAAGGGAAAAAGATCTCTCTAAATTACTTCCTAAGGAGCTCTTCAGTTGCCATCACCTCTGCTTACTGCTTTTATGATGTATAAGAAAAATGAATTTCCTATTTTGTACACTCTTTTCCAATTACAGTGGAATAATACTGGAGGAAAATTGTTTTTATTAGTAATAATAATACCATTGGTAGAAGTTGAATAATATTTTGTCCATGGAACCACCTGTCTTATAATACTTTTTTTTTTTCTAGTTCAGCATTTTTCTTTGTATTGTTTCATTTTGTTTTTAGTTTGTTGACCTATTTCTTTGATTTACAAAGTGAGAGATTAACATAGGCATTTTGTGGGGTTCATTTTAAGACTAGGAAGGAGTAGAGCTACAGAGTTAGATAGACTGGTTAGCCAGAAATTGAGAATAAGAGTTTAAAAACTAAAAAGGGGTAATTAAGCATGAAAAGGGAAATGATTAAGTAAAAATTTAAGTAAACTTGTTCAGGACTAACCTTTTACTCTGTCTTGGAGGCTCACCAGATGAATAAATAAAAGATACATCATAATATTTTCTTTTTATTTATTTTGTAAGTGGAATATCCTATTAAAGCAGTATATTGATAGTCCATCTGAGTAACACAAATTAAGATCTGGAAAATTTTCTCTATTCACTTAAAAGCAGAGTGAACATCTAATTTATTCTTTAAATTAGTATATTTTTGAGAGTGAAAGGGGACTGTATTAACAATTATGCTGGGATAGCAGGTGAAATCTGGGACTGCCCTGGGCAAACTGGGATATATATGCTTCCTCTGTCTTTTTTGGGTTATCTCAGGGTAATATTTAGTTATTTTAGTGGTTAATGTCTTAATCAGGGTACTCTACAGAAACAGAACCAGTGAGATATACACGGGATTATGGGGGCTCTCAAGTCCAAAATCCATAGGTCAGGCAGAAGGCTAGAAAATTCTGCAGGCTTAAGTCCCAAGATCCATAGGCTAGGTGATAAGAAGAGTGCAGAGTGAAGAGAAAGCAAGTTCTGCCAAAATATCTATTTATTGTCTGGAGGCAGCCCACACCTTAAGGATATTTCCTTTTCAACTGATTGATTGATCATATTACTTTAGATTACATCGTGGAAAGTCATTACCTTGCGTTGCATTGCATTACATTACATTACATTATG